ATAATATAATATAATATAATATAATATAATATAATATAATGTAATATAATATAATATAATGTAATATAATGCAATATAATATAATATAATATAATTCAAGTTTCCAGAGTGCCTGTGCCCTCACAAAGGAGTAAAAACTATGCCAATCAAAGCCGACGCCAGAATGGATATACCGGAATACTGTGTGACCGTTTACTGTGAATGGATTATTCCATCAATAACACATGATATGGTGATTTTGATGCTGTCATGTCTTTACTTAACATGTCTTCTAAAAATCAGATCTTTTTTTTCATAAATTGCACTATTTTACAGAAATTCGTTGCATTTTTTAATTTTACGTCGGAGGCTGATATTCTCACAGTGGCCACCGGGAATGACATACGACAGTAAGTCTACGGTCGCTTGAAATAACCGTCCCTTAAACCAATATGTAGTTTAACGATTTCTCAGAACCAGCAAGGATGGAGTGTTTTAGAAGTTCTCCTTCTAGTATAGACCATCATAGACCAGCAACACCTTTTTAAACATACTCCCTACGAAGATGTTCTGATATATTTTCATACTTTGCTGATAAATATGAAATATGTAGGAGAGGAAAGTAACCCATTTATAGGTTATATAGCTCACTTATGACGTACCATGCAGATCTCTTTCGAAGNACTGCCCCAAAGGACCGTATGCTGTGCAGGAAGTTCAAAGCGCAGTTAGTGTATGGACACCAAATAAAATGAGAAATGGCTATAGGGCATGATTTCTGTCCACTGACCTCCTGCACAGTATCCAAACTAGTAATCAAATGAATGAATTGGCCTAACGCTGGGGTTGTATCCTGCTCAACCCAAATTGAAATGCTTCTTGATTCGAAGTTCTGATATTGCACGTTTCAGTTTTTCGAGTAAATCGAGGGTACTTGCTAGAAAGGAATGGAAGCTTCCAGAGAATTCACCACCAGTCACCATTTCGTACAAGCGTGATGTGCGAGCAAATTCGACATTACCATCTGCGATGACATCGTTTCTCGTCAGTTGGATGCCCAGTGAAGGTCGGACAAGGAACTGCTTTGTAAGCGATGGACAGCGCAAGCTTCTTTTATTACTTTTAGGATGTTATTGTGACAACAGCTCAATTAAAATTGCAGTCGTTGGGGAGTGGGATGTGCTGACATCGCCCGCGTATCCTCTGTCATACTGTAACGACATGCTTTGCGTCACGAGAATAGTCGCTCCGGAAGGGTAATGTTTTTGTTTGACCAAAAATCCTTCCCGAGTAGGATTTCTCGATAAAAGAACGAAAGTAGCAGAGAACTACAGTCTCGATTCCCGCTCATTACGGTAGAGGCGTAGTTCTGAGGAGGAAATCAAGAATAGTGAAAAGGGGAGTTGTGGAACAGTGAATTTGCAAAAACCTTTACNTATGCTGATTTGAGCCTACAGAATCTATCAGTCGATATGAATCTGATATCGTTGCAGAATTCTGTGACATCAATGACTCACCAACTCTGTGAAATATCTCGCTTGTTTCTTGATGGGTTTTTGTGTAGCAGAATGAGTCACGACACAGCGAGTCATGCTTGCCATTTCAACGCCGACAGGGAGCGGTAAACTCGCACTCTTATCTAGCACTACCCTTTCGGCTAGTATGCGACATGCAACGATCTGAGAGGGAGCACCAACACTCGCATCATCACCTTAACTATCACAATTACGCCTCCTACAAGAGAACCAATCTCCATTAGTACCGGACACGGCCAGAACTTTTAAAGACAAAGTGAATGCATCAGCAACTATAGCCCTTCTGCTTTGAGGATATACCTCATACCAAAGGAATACTCCATTGTGAGAACCAGAACCTTTTCGATAAGCTGAATAATGTATCAGTATAGCTACGCAGAATTCTCGCACAACTATTCAGAATCTGTAGGTCTATTTCGTTAAAAACAATTGATCTAATGGGATTTAAGCAACAACAACTAGTTTGTAGGCATCATGTTGTACTAAACATTACCGACTTCTACACGGAACCCTATAATGATGTGCTGTCGCTATTTGATGGATGGAATATCGTTGGACGGCCCATGGAGATGTACGTGAAATTTGATATTTCATTTTCTTAAAGTCATTATAAAGTAGTATAGTGGCTTCGCAAGAGTTCAAATATATGACCGCTGAGAATTCCAAATGGCCCTATCAAGACCTAGGCGACACAGTTAACTAGGGTGTGCGAACGAATTTTCGAACGCACCTAATCGAGCTCGCCTCGCACCTAGGCGCGAAATGGCCTTAACTAGGTGCGAAGACTACGCTATCATTATGCTGCCCGCACTGGCTACTAATCGAGTTAAAACTTGTCAACTAAAGAGAATAATGACAGTTTGAAAAAAATGGAGGTTCTCTTTTAAAAAAATGAGTTTTTTGAAAGGAAAATTCCAATATCAATTTCAACGATTTCAGGAGATTTATTTCCATGCATATTAAATAAGTTCAATTATATTTTATAATAAAGTTCCTGGAAAATAAATGAAACAGTTCAGTTCACTTCTTTTCTCGGTACAACCTTGATAACAACAGCTCTACGGCCCACCATTCAGGCCATTTAACAGTTTTTACGGCATATAGCAAAACTTCAGGCTAAATTCAGCACCCTGAAGAGAACACATCGAGAACTATTTAACCAGGTGGGTGAGTGCTCCACTACCACTGCTTACTTTATAAGACATTACCATGTATTCTAAGACGCACTGTACGTTTCGACGAATTTACAAGGTGCCCTCCCTCTCCAAACTAGCCGGGAGTGCGCGGTCCATGTGGCTCTTTTCCTCTACTGTCCGAGCTTTTCACTTTTGTTAAGGATGCCCTTCTGGAGTACAAGCACTTCAGAGAACTCCTGTACCCCAGGACCATGTCACGTACGGTAAATGCCTGGGGTTCCTTGAACAGTTGGAACGATGTCCAGATGCGTAACGAACCAAACTATCTGAGTTTTTTACTTATAAATTTAGGTTTCATTTAGGTATTCCTAGTACTGAGGAACTGAGGAATTGAACCGTTTTTTCCACATTACAGAAACTCCAATCACAGAATATATTGAATTTTTTATTAGGCGTGGAAATGAAACTTCAAAACCGTTTGAGTTGATATTGGGACTTTTTCTTTGAAAAACATTTTTTTAATAGAATCTCCATTTTTTTAACCTGTCATTATCCTCCTTAAATGACAAGTTTAACTCGATTAGTAGCGAGTGCGAGCAGCGTAGTTACCGCGGAGTCTTCGCACATAATTAAGGTCACTTCGCGCCTAGGTGCGAGACGAGCCTGATTAGGTGCGATCGAAAATTCGTTCCCGTACCCAGTTAACTATGTAGCTAACAATAAGAACCGCACGCATTATGTAGGCATCGGGACTACTATACCCATGGGAGACGGGCGTTAGGAACGATTTTGGGTAATCGATTTACCGCACGCGGCTGTCGCGAACCACTCATTCGCCGTTATTACGGCTCTAGCGTTCTTCATACAGCTCAATCGATATGCGATCGCCATGTACGGCTATCTTTAAACCTCGGCATAGTGCAAACGTTGATTTTCTTTGCTTGAACTCGGACGAGGTTGGTAAGAAAACTTTTCTTAGACTTAGAACTTAGAGATTATGCGATCATTATTTTATGCATAGTTCTACTATTAGTACTTTCGTTCTTGTATTTTTTACCTACTGCTGCATCCTGCTACATTCCTTCGCGCGCGACGCCCCTCTCACCGCGACGCGATTATTTCGTTCCTAACGCACCACACCCCTATACCCATCATATAATGATAACATCTTGTAAAGTTGACATTGTTAGCTTAAAATATGTTTAATCTACAGCAGCAGACCTTTCAATGTCGTGCTACGACGTATTCATATTCCATTCGGAACCATTCAAACTGATGATTTACTGCTTGTGCATAGACAATATCATTTCTAACTTCGAATTTCAAGGTTCCACGGAAAGAAGAAACTTCCACATCTGATCCGAAGCACCAACGAGACGTTATCACTTGTTTTCAAATCCGACCACGAAGTGTACTATGAAGGATACCGTCTTCTTTTCTCAGCTGGTATGTCTTTGCTGCATCCAGCGAGTTCGAATTATCACTAAATTACAGGGTGTCCCAAAATTATGGTCGAATTCATAGCAATGTATTTAAAGCTCCTCAGCTGAGAATGACAACAAAATCTATATACATGTATGCTTAAATCATGTGCTACAACACGCTACAGTCGCATTCCAAAATATGCCCACTGAGCGTGGATACAGACCCAAAGTTTGCTCTTGAACACCTGTTGCACGCAGTTGTCCTCCATTTCTTCCCAACCTTTCTTGAATCTTGCTTTCTAGGACTCCAAACAGACCCGAAAGGTCCTCTTCTAATAAGGAATTATACGAAGGAGTCAAGTAAGTTAAGATCTGGAAATTGGCCATTCCGCCTTGCTAGTGAACACGGGCAGCCAGCATCGGCACCAGTCCCTGGCGAGCCCGACTCTGCGAGCTTGAGCACCGACCTGCTGAGGAGACTACGAGCTGTTCTAGGAAAGGATGGGATCAGTACTCCATACGTCCATCAGTATGTCCTTTGAGCACAGGTCTTTATCAATTTTCCTCGCAGGCACCGAAGAAACCATGAGCGTATTACCCTTGTCAGTAACTTCCCCGGAAAAACATCGTTTTACTGTTCTCATAGTCACCTTTTGTAGGAGAATGCACATTAGATTTTTCTATCCATAACACAAACCTTTTGTTTGTTGAGGAATGGTTTTATCGTAAAAATTTTTTGAGCTAGAGAAAATAATGCAGGGATGCGTGTCTCAACTTAAGCGGGTCAACAACCTTTAGCATTTTTTCACCCTACACTGTCTGTTGAGATCGGAAATGAAGTGGGGTTTCTGCATACGATTGGAATGACAATAAGGCTCCTGCATAACATTCTTCCATCGCGGTAACTCCGATAAGCCGTGCCCGTTGAGTTCCTTTTGATGGGCCACCCAGTATCACAACCGACTAGCGGACAGCCCATTTTAACAGTCCTATCATTAGGGATGTTGGACTTTCCTACCTCATCCTGGTTTGTCTCCGATTCAATCCTCTTTTATACATCGTTTTACCACTTCCTAATAGATTATTATAGAAATACCGAAGAATTTCATAACGCCCTTCCACTTCTAGCATACCAGTGATTGCAAATGGCATTGAATGAGCCTTCTCTCATCTAAAGGATATTGGGAGTTACCCGTCAGTAACCATGCATTTCGCACGAAAATCTTCTGCTGCAACTAATTAATAGCGGGTGGAGGGAATATGATAAATTACTTCAATCTTAGAAGTTTCTGAATTTTGGCGCCCATAATTCTGAGACACCATGTATATTCCCGCACGCTCGTTACTTCTAATCTGAATTCATGAAGCGAGCTCTTCGATTTCCTTCGGATCTTGGTGTTCCCTTTTTCCCTAGTCCTATAAGTGGATGCAGTCAATGATTACGGTGTCCGGAAAGCTTTGAGAAAATTTTGTCTCTCAACTTTGAAAGCGTGTTGCTCGCGAACGCGCTAAAGTAAGACTATGGATTCGATAGCAGGGGAAGGAGCATTCTTCCTAGATCATTAATGTAACTAATCGGTATTTGACGTAATTATTCAAAGCAAGTAATCGTAGACCAAACTATGTGCCGTCGATACGACTACCGGAGCCTTCTCTTTCGCAATCACGGAACCAATCCACTTTGACAGGCTTGACAGGCTTCAGGCTTGAAACGAGATACTGTGGCTGATCGCCACCTGTCCTAAAAAATATCGACACTGTTCTGACCTCCCGTCAGAGCAATCCAGTTCAAAGAGGCAGGGTTTGGAGAAAACGATCTCTACTCTCTAATCCATCATCCACGCCATTCTACGCAAAAAGCACTTTCTAATCAGGACTCTTTGCAAATATCGCACTCCTTGACTGAGCAAGTAGTGGATAATGCCCGATCACCCCGAGGGACGTCGATAGATGAGCTGAGAAGACTTGGTATACCCTGACTAACTAGCTTCCCACATATTCACCTGATCTCAACCTATATGACTGCCACTTTCAGAGGCCCATAGGCCTGCTCTAAAGCGAAAAAATTCACCAACTGTCGAGAAGTCAAGTAGGTAGTAGATCAGTGAATCGTGTCACGCCTCTCTAAAGATGTATTGGAGAAATGGCATCAATGCCCTGTCCGA